AAGTAGGTATAATTTTACAACATTGCCTTTTTTAAAAAGCTATGAAAAATATAAGACATTAATTTCAGTGGATCATGATTTTTTTAATGTAATGAACTCTAGTTAGAACATATTCCTTGATTAGTATCTATTTAAAATGTCATCTTGCCATGCTTGAATAGAAATAAACCTTTTAACTACGTGATATACTTCCCAAATCATTATAAATTATGAAAAACTAGATAAATCTTACTCAATTCATAAGGAATAAACTCATTTTGATTTCTTCCTCTAGAAATGAATTCCTAAATGAACATTCCTTTCCCATACTACAAATGAAAATAACTATTTTCTCTCTTTCCTCTTGTTCATGTTTACCAAGTAGCCTAATTATCCTTAAAACTCTTATTATATCTGAAAGTTTTCTCTTCAGGAATCTACTGAGACTGGGAGACATGTGGGATTTCCTGTACTTTTTGTGTTAGGTTGTATATTCTCAAAGTTGAGATTCCAGGACAAATTTCATGGTCTAAATTTCTGTTAATATATTTGTTATTATTTCATATAATTGCACTTATAGGACACATATCATATAGCCATCTGGGTTTTGTTAATGAGACTGTAACAAGGATAAGAAATTTTTAACAAGAACAACATGGAGTAAACATGCTTTTCCCTGTTTCTCTCACTACATACAACTAAAACAATGGAATTACATAAAAAATAGATGTAAGACGACTCTGGAAGGTGGAAAGAAGAAGACAGACCAGCTAGGGACCTTGCGACTCAAGGAATAGCACAGTGATGAGCTCCTGAGTTTTCTTTTTACCTCTTATAGTCTGGACCAGGTACTGGAGAAGCTAACAACCTAGAAATGTCAATGGGCACAAACCAAAATAAAATTTAAAAAAAAAGAAAGAAGAAGAAGAAAATCAGAAAGTCTGTTTTTTGTTGTTGTTTTTTTTAAGTTGGAGACTCACTCTATCACCCAGGCTGGAATGCAGTGGCTCACTCATGACCTGCAGGGCTCTGGTGATCCTTCCACCTCAGCCTTCCAAGTAGCTGGAACAACAGACACACACTACCATCACTGGCTAACTTTTTATTTATTGTAGAGATGAGGTCTTGACAAGTTGCCCAGACTGGTCTCGAACCTGCAGACTCAAGCAATCCCCTTGCCTCGATCTTCCAAAGTGCCGGAATTATAGGCTGAGCTACTGAACCCAGCCAAGTCTGCTCTCTTTACCCAAAGAAGCAGGAAAGGAACTGCTTTGAATACAGAACTCTTTTAGACAGTAACCACCCTACTCTAGCCAAACACCATGGGAAAATAAGAAACTGTATTTTCACATCTGTCAGCTAAGTCCAAGTGGGGGACCTACATCTTTACCCTCTCATAGCTGTATGGAGAAAACCTTCTCTTCTCTTTTTCCCCTGCTAGTGAGATATCAGAGAAGGCTGAATGGGAAGCCTAGACTTTCCACCACTGCCCAAAGGTAATGAGGCTTGTCCTTACAGAGTCAGTGAAGGCCACATGGCAAGCAGTAATGAGACGCCCCCTCCCTCTTCTAACTAGAGTGTGTTAGCACAGGCCTAGTTGGAGCCTCAACTCCTACCTCCTCCCAGTAGTAACTGACTCCTCAACCCTATGTTACTGGAGGCTGAGTGGGAAACCTGAACTTTTATGCCCATCTGACAGCAGTAAAGTGACTCCTCCTACACATTCCCCATTAGTAGGTATATAAAAGAGGCCTACTAAAATACTAGATTTAAATAAAATGTAGAGTCTAATAACATAATACACAAAATGTCTAAGATACAATTGAAATTCACTCATCATACCAAGAACCAGAAAAACCTTTACCTTAATGAGAAAAGCTGCTCAAACACCAACACCAGAATAACACAGATCTTAGAATTATCTGACAAAGATATTTAAGTAGCCACCACAAAAATGTTTCAACAAGCAATTACAAATACACTTGAAACAAAAACAGAAGCAGCAAAGAAGTAGAAGATATAAAGATCTAAGTGAAAATTCTAGAACAGAAAAGCACAGTAAGTAAAAAAATTCAATGGATGGACTAAACAGCATATTCAAGAGGACAAAGGGAAAAATTAATGAGCTTGAAGATAAAATAGAAATAACCCAAATTGAACAATGGAGACAAAATTGACTAAAAAAAAATAGCAGAGCCTCATGGATGTGTGAGACTATAACAGATCTAATATTAATGTCGTGAAACTCAAGAAGGAAAAGAGAAAGAGGGTAGGGCTGAAAAAGTATTCATAGAAATAATAGCCGAAATATTCCCAAATTTGGCAAATAGCATGAACATATAGATTCAAGCTGAGAAAACCCCAAATGGGATAAACACAAATAAATTCATGCCATGACACATCATGAACTGAAAACCAAAGACAAAAATTCTTGAATGTGGTGAAAGAGAAAAGATACCTTATGTATAGGAAAAAAACCAATTTGAATGACATTATCATCAGAAACCACTGAGGACAAAAGGAAGTGGCACGATATTTTCAAGCGCTGAAAGAAAACTGTCAGCCCAGAATCCTGTATTCAGTGAAAACATCCTTTAAAAATAAAGAGAAATCAAGACTTGCTCAGATGAAGGAAAACTAAAGGAATTTTTCACCAGCATACCTTACCTTAAAAGAGTAGCTAAAAGAAATTTCTAAAACAAGAAGGAGATAATAGAAGTGGGAAATTTTGGAACACTGGAAGGAAGAAAGAACAACAGTACAAGTAGAAATATAGGATACAAACCAGGATATCACAATGAATTTATTTGTCATGTCTCCTTCTCCCATCTTTCCTTGAATCTGCGTTTTTAATAAGCTCCCTAGGTGGTTTTCAAGTGGTGGAATTTGAGAGTTGTTGCTATTCTAAAGTCAGAGGCAGATCTTGAGCACATCTCACTGAGTTTACAAACCCTTTAAGAAACCTGTCAACTGGGGGAACTTCCCCTTGTTTAAGTGGTAGCTTAAACTTTGTATCTCAAGTTATGCTTGTTAAGGACCCAACAAGAAAAAGAAGGCACACCTGGGAAATTCTGAGAGAATTTAACAAAATTGCCATTCACAGAAATATAGTTAGTTAAGGGAGTTAATAAGGGATGCTAAAGCAACTAGGAACTATCAGGTGTTCAAAGGTTTACTATCCTTGGGAATGAAAGGGAGTAGGAGGTCACCCAGCAGGAGCAGTAAACAGAGATATGTAGTTATAGCAGAATCCAATCCTGCCAGAACCACAAGGTTCTAAAGCATGGAAGAAATAGAGGAAGACACACTTAAGTCTTTACCTTCTCCTACCTTATCTCTGCTGGTGCTTCCCATCGGTAGAACTGAAATGGGAGGCACCAAGAAACAAAGAATCAGATAATAGAGTCCCAGGACACAGTGGACAGCTTTGGTGGAGAATGGATCTGGGGCAATGTGAAGGGAGAATTAACCAGCACTGTTTTAAGCAAAATGCCAGAAATAACCTGATTAGTAAACTGTCCCTGGGCAAAAAGCTAAAACAAGGTAAAGAAAACACTTTTGTGACTATGTAAGTGGACAGTACTAATTTTGTGACTAAATTCTAGCACACTTGAAATAAACATTCAGCATATGTAACAAATCAATATATTTTATTCAGTCTTATCTTCAGAAAACCACTTCTGAAACCTAGGCACATAATGCATATTATTTCACCTGTAAAGTTTCTAATTTCTATTTGATTTTTCTAGCCAGGAAATTACATTATGTTATTGTAATGTAATATCTCCAAGGTTTGTAGCAGATCATCCTTAAAGGTCAAGACTAGAATTCAGCCATCTGTAGGTGATCTTGATCTGAAAGTAGGATGGGCATTCAGGCATTTATCGGTAGTCCATTTAGATCTGTATATCAGTGGGTTTACCACTATTGGACCAAGCAGTGATCATTTGTTTGTTCTTGCAGAGAACTTCATGGGAATGCTATGCAGCCCTCTGTCAAGGATAACAGTGGTAGCCATGGCTCTCCTATCAGTGGAAAATTAGAAGGCATCTTCTTCAGCTGCAGTACTGAATTCAATACTGGGAAGCCACCCCAGGATTCACCTTACGGAAGATACAGGTTTGAGATTGCAGCAGAAAAACTTTTTAACCCCAATACTAACTTATACTTTGGGGACTTCTACTGTATGTACACTGCTTATCATTATGTGATTCTTGTTATTGCCCCTGTGGGATCACCAGGAGATGAATTCTGTAAGCAGCGCCTTCCTCAACTAAATTCCAAGGATAATAAGTTTTTAACCTGTACAGAAGAAGATGGGGTGCTTGTTTACCACCATGCCCAGGATGTCATTTTAGAAGTCATTTACACTGACCCTGTGGATCTTTCTCTGGGCACCGTGGCAGAAATCACTGGTCATCAGCTCATGAGTTTGTCTACTGCAAATGCAAAGAAAGATCCCAGCTGCAAAACCTGTAATATCAGTGTTGGACGTTAATGCCCACTTTTCTTATTCTTAGCCTCTTTTCTTCCCTTAGGAGCATTAACCCTGTGTTGTTCATCTTCATCACCAGATGTTTTCCACTGAAGCATGCACATGCCGCTATCACCAAAAGCAAACTACCACTGTCCAAATTTCATTCAGAGCCATTTTAGTGTCTCCTATTCCCTATCCTTCCTACTACTTTCAATGATGAAATATCCTAAGTTCTCCTTCTGACACTTTATTGCCTAGATGCTGCAATGTTTTTATTTTTATTTTATGCCAAGCATAACAAAACAATTATATAGACTGCTTTAGCAAAATACAAAATAATGGCTTATAAATGGTGTTTAAATATACATTCATTTTAATCTGAGCAAATATTGGGATAACTCCAAAACCGCATGAAAGGGTGTAATTGCAGCATGAGTTAAATCTTGAAGCCTAGAATTGTCAGCACTTCCAACTTGTTGTTTGACAGTGTTATTTATGTTATTTATATTAGCTAACAGGAAACAACTACTGTGTTTCAACATAATAAATATAATAGAAAAATATTTTATTTGTATTGTTGTATAAAATATTTACAGTCATATAGAATATATAGTTACATTTTAATAGCAATTGTATACATGTCACGAAACCATTTCTCTTATCAAAGATGTAATTTGTAAACCTCAAATAGTTGTGTTATCTGTCCTGTTACAAGTAGATGACTTCAATTAAACAAATTTATGAAGGACATTATTCTCATTCATAAAAGTTATAAAATACCAGGTAAATACAGAGAAAACAATAAGCCTCTGAAATAGTCTGTTTCTGAAATAGTCAATATTCTTCCCATCCAAACTATGAAAATGCGAATTTCATCAGAACATCATGCTTAAACATTACAGAAAATAGAAAAACAAATATGGTTAGTACAGGAGAAAATGTTGACCTTTTACTCATGTTTACAAAAATGAAAATAATAAACGTGTTTTAGTTCAAAATTACACAAAACACTATACACTAAAGTTGATGAAGCAAATAAAATATTCTGCCTTCTTTTCTAGGATGTCAGAGCAAACAATTTCCAAACCTTTCATTTTGTACAGAATGAAGAATACAGCTCATGAGAAAGTTTTCTGACTTTACAAAGTATAGACCTTAGAACATTAAGAAAATGTATATTCCAAATGGAAAAATAGTTATATAATCTTAGAGTAAACAAAAAGATTAGCAATAATTCTATGATCACATTAAATTATATACTGCAGACACATATCTATCCAAAATACCTATTTTAAATTTTTAATACAATATTTTATTTTAATATAAACATCTGTCAATTATAGACAAAGGCAATAATTCACAAGGTACATGCTATCAGAATTAACTTTGGTAACCAGAAATGTAAAATTTCAAATAACAGATAAAATGTGTTACTTTTAGATAGAAATAAAAATGAGCAGTGACACATTCTAGTACATTTTAGGGTAGTGAATGCCTAGCAAACTTAAGGGACAAGGTAGCAGATGTTTTATCACTTACAAATCTATTAGAAGTTTCAAATAAATTATTCTCTTACTAGCTGTATTCCTTTCTACATGAAAAGCAGAATTTCTTTTCCTCCTCTCACTGTTTTTTTTTTTAAATCATGCCCTTTTTCATATATCAACACAGACAATCTTTGCACCCTAAATAAATTTTCTGTAACAAGTGGCCCAGCTATGTTATTTAGGTTTAATAAAATATTAGATTTTTTGTAAAATAATTTTATTGACTACGAGTTTTCTCCTTAGCATGAAGGAGACTGAATTGTTTTTTTTAATCAATTATACAGTTACCAGTTACATTTTTTTTAAATCTCTTCTCCTTCTATATAATTATACTTGCTATCCCTTCATAAAAACAGCTAATACTACCACTAAAGTGCTTTCATTTTCAGTATGTCAAAATTCTTTAGCAACAATGGCAAGGGAAAAAAACTTAACTTTAATCTTGATTATAAAAGTGATCATAAACATTTCCTGAACCTCAAATAGTTTTGGCCACATCTTGCTTGCTGATGAGGACCTCTAAAAGTCTCAGTTTGGCTTTTATGTGCTTGTATTCATAATACTCATCTGCCATTGGTATCCTATCTTCCTTTTGTGGACTTCTGTAAAACAGAAAGTACAATTAGTTCAAAATGAATAAAGTCATTAAATATCCACTTCTAATTCATACTTGAGAAGCTATAGGGTAACAGCTTCCACTTGATTTTTGCATCATTTCTTCTTTACCTTCCCTTTCACCTTCATTCACTCTCTCTTCGGTGTGTTAGTAAGTTTCTAAACAATAGTACCCTTGGAGAACTTGGAGGTCATAGATAGGTATTTTGTAAATATGAGGTCCAGCGCCTACACATTTAACAGCGGGACAAGTGAAAAGATCTGAGGACAAAAAAACAGAGCCTTCAAGGCATTCCTTGCCTTGTTATTTTCCCATTATCTGCCACAGTCCCAACAGTCCTAGGCAGAATGTTCAGCCCTAATAGTAAGAGTTGTTAAAAATATTAACCTAAACATGCTATAGAAATTTGATTATACAAATAATTTATGGTGACAAGAAAAACGTTCAGTGGTTGTCTTACAAACTTAAAACATTTCCAGGTTTTCTTATAATTATATCTGTCTCTGCTAATGTGTGGTAGAAATCACTTATTTTTAGCTCTTACAAATAAACAAAACAAGCTAATCTATAAAGAGTCTCTAAGAATATAGTATCTACTTGTATTACACAACTTTTTACTGCCCTGTAATTTTTAGTACAAAACTCAGAACAGTATACAAATCCAGAATAGGATTCCTTTCAAATACTGTTTAAATTATATAACATAAATCCTTTGCATGCATTCTGTGTTATGAGCCAAAATTATCATAAATGGATGTATGAATACTACTTATTTTGTAGAAACAGATCTAAGTGAAGAAATTGTCGAATGATTATAGAGAAACACTAATCATACATTACATAAATTTTCCCTAGTTCTGCATATTCCATTTTGGCTAATAAACAAGGATACTTGGATTAGAATAAAAAACTTTGCTAAGTCTTTCCTGAAGCAGCTTCCCCATTATATAAAACATACTAAGGTGTTTAGCATAGATCCTGGCTCATAATTATTAATAACAATTTAATATCTACATGATTACCATGCCTGATGTATGGTAAATATCACCAAGAACATTTACAGTGCCTTAAAACTTTTACTAACTCATTTGCATGGTTATTTTACCTTAAAGATATTAGGCCTTCCCAATAAAATACTCTAGGAAAATAAAATTAAGGTCCACATTTTACAGCCATCCAACTGTTTGATTTTAGTTGTAACAGATCATCATGTATGCATTCAGTGGAAATATATCACCCACCACAAGAGGGCATATAGCTTCACAGCCAACTATAGGCATATCTGAAGTGGGTTTAGGACTCACAGGTTCAATAGAATACTATGCATAGAACATAGCTAATTTCCCCATGTATGTCAAAGGGCATGCCAAGTAACACTGCAGATCCATTAGGCAGCATTATTAGCACAGTGGGAAGTTCTCAAACTCTTTAAGGTAGACCCCTGGGTTCAAATAGGTAAAAATATAAATGTATTTAGGGAACTTAAAGTTATAAAAGAACGTATGCCCATCTTAAAGTGCAATTTGTCATATGTAATGACTATTTAAATACAGAATACTTGATAACAGCTCTGTAAATATTTCCCTGAATTAAAAATTTCATAGAATACCTTTCATCTAAAAGAAGCAGAGATCAGAAGCTTTAATGCAAGTCACACATATACCCAAAGCATAGTATAGTAGACAGTCTAGACAAAGTCATTCCAAGGAATGTTTTGCAAGGAAAGCTGCATGAGTGTTTTGTAAAAGATATGGAAAAAGTAAACAAATCATGTTTTATATTCTAAATTTAGCAGCCACATAATATTTCTCACAAGGTTAGTCAACATCAGCAGAAAAGTAAGTTGTACATGTAGGAATCAGCTTGAAAGAACGATTCCAGATAAAAAACAAATTGGGTTATATCTATATTTGCTGAATGCGAAAAGTCTCTCACTTAATAGGTTCAGTCCTAATAAATAACCCTGCCAAGGACTAAGAGGTAAGTAGACCAAGCTTCAAAGCCTCAAGATGCCTTTAGAAAATAGTTCCTCCATCAGAGCAACCCTCAGACTGCTGAGCTGAAAGCAGTTCAGGAGAGGCAAGTATCTAGATGGAGAGGAATGTGGAGGAGCCAGTGACTCTAATGCTTATGCGCTAAAATTCAAAGGAAGAGCTTAAAATCATCTCTGTCACTTTACATAACTTTGTGGCTTTGGGAAAGTTATACCCTTTAATTTTTTTTTTTTTTTTTTT